TTGACGATACCACAGAAAACCTGGAATCATTGACGATACCACAGAAAACCTGGAATCATTGATGATACCACAGAAAACCTGGAAACATTGACAATACCAGAGAAAACCTGGAATCATTGATGATACCACAGAAAATCCTGGAATCATTGATGATACCACAGAAAACCTGGAATCATTGACAATACCACAGAAAACCTGGAATCATTGATGTAACCACAGAAAACCTGGAACCTTTCATATATAATATATAACCACAGAAAACCTGGAATCATTGATGTAACCACAGAAAACCTGGAACCTTTGACGATACCACAGAAAACCTGGAATCATTGATGTAACCACAGAAAACCTGGAACCTTTGACGATACCACAGAAAACCTGGAATCATTGACGATACCACAGAAAACCTGGAATCATTGATGTAACCAAAGAAAACCTGGAATCCTTCATATATAACCACAAAAAACCTGGAATCATTGATGATACCACAGAAAACCTGGAATCATTGATGATACCACAGAAAAATCCTGGAATCATTGACGGTACCACAGAAAACCTGGAATCATTGACAATATCACAGAAAACCTGGAATCATTGATGTAACCACAGAAAACCTGGAATCATTGATATATTATGACAGAAAACCTGGAATCATTTACGATACCACAGAAAACCTGAAATCATTGATGTAACCACAGAAAACCTGGAACCTTTCATATATAATATATAACCACAGAAAACCTGGAATCATTGATGTAACCACAGAAAACCTGGAATCATTGATGATACCACAGAAAACCTGGAATCATTGATGATACCACAGAAAACCTGGAATCATTGATGTAACCACAGAATACATGGAACCTTTGATGATACCACAGAAAACCTGGAATCATTGACGATACAACAGAAAACCTGGAATCATTGACGATACCACAGAAAACCTGGAATCATTGATGATACCACAAAAAATCCTGGAATCATTGATGATACCACAGAAAACCTGGAATAATTGACGATTCCACAGAAAACCTGGAATCATTGATGTAACCACAGAAAACCTGGAATCATTGATGATACCACAGAAAACCTGGAATCATTGATGTAACCACTGAAAACCTGAAACCTTTGATGATACCACAGAAAACATGGAATCTTGACGATACCACAGAAAACCTGGAATCATTTACGATACCACAGAAAACCTGGAATCATTGATGAATCCACAGAAAACCTGGAATCATTGATGTAACCACAGAAAACCTGGAACCTTTCATATATAATATATAACCACAGAAAACCTGGAATCATTGATGTAACCACAGAATACATGGAACCTTTGATGATACCACAGAAAACCTGGAATAATTGACGATTCCACAGAAAACCTGGGATCATTGATGTAACCACAGAAAACCTGGAACCTTTCATATATAATATATAACCGCAGAAAACCTGGAATCATTGATGTAACCACAGAAAACCTGGAACCTTTCATATATAATATATAACCACAGAAAACCTGGAATCATTGATGTAACCACAGAAAACCTGAAACCTTTGATGATACCACAGAAAACCTGGAATCTTGACGATACCACAGAAAACCTGGAATCATTGACGATACCACAGAAAACCTGGAATCATTGATGAAACCACAGAAAACCTGGAATCATTGATGTAACCACAGAAAACCTGGAATCCTTCATATTTAACCACAGAAAACCTGGAATCATTGACTATACCACAGAAAAACCTGGAATCATTGACGATACCACAGAAAAACCTGGAATCATTAATGATACCACAGAAAACCTAGAAGCATTGATGTAACCACAGAAAAACCTGGAATATTTGACAAAGGTTTTCTAAAAATAGTAAAAGTGACCTTGACCTTTAACGCAGTATAACCTGAAACGTGAACTTATTCAAGGCATTGCCGTACCAAACACTTGTATCAAGTTTGATGAGCGATGACAAAGATTTTCTTAAAAAAGTAAATGATCTTGACCTTGAATGAGTAGAAACCAAAAACGTGAACTTGTCCAAGGCATTGCCCACTAAACCCATGCCGCATGAAGTTTCATGAAATTCCTTTCAGTATATTAAGTCGCTAGAGTGATGACAAAGATTTTGTCTAAAAATAGTAACAGTGACCTTGACCTTCAACATAGAAACCTGAAACGCGAAACTTGTTCAAGGCATTGTCATACTTTAAGCTACACGCTTGTATGAAGTTTCATGAAATTCCATTGAGGAATGAAGTCGCTAGAGCGATGACAAAGAGTGTAACATACGTACGTACGTACTTATGTATTACGCACGGGCAGAATCCTATATCCCCTCAAACTTTCGTTGCGAGGAGATAATAAATATCTTACTGCAGAGACAGTCTGCAATGACAAAAAACCTGCAATCTTTGATGTTTCCACAGAAAACCTTGAATCTTTGATATATAACCAAAGAAAACCTGCAAACACTGATATATTGTAGAACTAAAATAAACATCTTACTGCAGGGACAATCTACAATGACAGACATCTCTGATATTGAAATTAATCAATATCTTACTGGCACAATACTACATTGGGAGACATTACTTCTGTCTAATTTGAAATACCACTGAAATTGATATAATATATCATGTGTTATTGCTTAATTGTTAACATACAAGAGAAATTAAAAAGTGCCCAGGAAATTAAGCCTTCTGTAATTAGAAAAATTAAATTGATAGCAGTTACGTTAGAAACAGAAATTACATCGCCTAATATGACACAAATGACCCTTCATATATAAAATACTCAGGTGAACCAAAACAGACTTGCATCCACTTAACTGATTACACAAAAGCTCCATCACGAAGTTACCTTGTAAATCTTAGATTATACTTCGCTTTGTTAATATATAGAGAGAATTCAAGGCAAAGCTTATAAACACAGACAACAATATTGATTACTCACATATGTGGTCAACGTTCTTCCATTGGTTCACAGAGATTAGTTCGTTGGAGAATTGGAACCAGGACAGATATTTGACCCACAGCAACCAGTCTGGTATAGTGCTGAAAAATAAAAAGTTTCTTTATAGAGTTTAATCCCAAAACCAGGACCCAGTTTCGCTAAATGTCGTATGATGTCATACATTTATGTATTTTTCACAAACAAGCGTAATTTGTATGTACTATTTAGGTCTTTTGTAGCATTTGGATTCACTGTGAACAGTGACAGTATGCGCCGGTACCATTGCACCACAATCCTCAAATTTTAAGCAGGTATATGCAAGAATGATTTCTAGGTACAATCTTCATCTGTTGACCCTTTTACCACTGTAGACCAGAATGGACTCATCCAGATAAATGTATGGTAGAGTCTACTAAATTTACCTAGGGATGAAAGGGTTAAACCTTTCAATAAATATATCAACTAATATCTATAATTATTAATTATGAAAATAATACTGACTTGTTGTTGAGGAAGAATCCACCGAAGAGCAGCAGAGGTGTGATGACAGCTGGGGCCACCGCAAGGGCTACATTTACACTAGCGAAGGCTGTCGACACCATGTAACCTGGAGAACAAGTACAGGTAAACATGTACTCGACTATAATATGTAATCTGGTAAATAGGTACAGGTAAACATGTACTCAACTATAACATGTAACCTGGAGAATAAGTACAGGTAAACATGTACTCAACTATAACATGTAACCTGGAGAATAAGTACAGGTAAACATGTACTCAACTATAACATGTAACCTGGTAAATAAGTACAGGTAAACATGTACTCAACTATAACATGTAACCTGGTAAATAAGTACAGGTAAACATGTACTCAACTATAACATGTAACCTGGTAAATAAGTACAGGTAAACATGTACTCAACTATAACATGTAACCTGGTAAATAAGTACAGGTAAACATGTACTCAACTATAACATGTAACCTGGTAAATAAGTACAGGTAAACATGTACTCAACTATAACATGTAACCTGGTAAATAAGTACAGGTAAACATGTACTCAACTATAACATGTAACCTGGTAAATAAGTACAGGTAAACATGTACTCAACTATAACATGTAACCTGGTAAATAAGTACAGGTAAACATGTACTCAACTATAACATGTAACCTGGTAAATAAGTACAGGTAAACATGTACTCAACTATAACATGTAACCTGGTAAATAAGTACAGGTAAACATGTACTCAACTATAACATGTAACCTGGTAAATAAGTACAGGTAAACATGTACTCAACTATAACATGTAACCTGGTAAATAAGTACAGGTAAACATGTACTCAACTATAACATGTAACCTGGTAAATAAGTACAGGTAAACATGTACTCAACTATAACATGTAACCTGGTAAATAAGTACAGGTAAACATGTACTCAACTATAACATGTAACCTGGTAAATAAGTACAGGTAAACATGTACTCAACTATAACATGTAACCTGGTAAATAAGTACAGGTAAACATGTACTCAACTATAACATGTAACCTGGTAAATAAGTACAGGTAAACATGTACTCAACTATAACATGTAACCTGGTAAATAAGTACAGGTAAACATGTACTCAACTATAACATGTAACCTGGTAAATAAGTACAGGTAAACATGTACTCAACTATAACATGTAACCTGGTAAATAAGTACAGGTAAACATGTACTCAACTATAACATGTAACCTGGTAAATAAGTACAGGTAAACATGTACTCAACTATAACATGTAACCTGGTAAATAAGTACAGGTAAACATGTACTCAACTATAACATGTAACCTGGTAAATAAGTACAGGTAAACATGTACTCAACTATAACATGTAACCTGGTAAATAAGTACAGGTAAACATGTACTCAACTATAACATGTAACCTGGTAAATAAGTACAGGTAAACATGTACTCAACTATAACATGTAACCTGGTAAATAAGTACAGGTAAACATGTACTCAACTATAACATGTAACCTGGTAAATAAGTACAGGTAAACATGTACTCAACTATAACATGTAACCTGGTAAATAAGTACAGGTAAACATGTACTCAACTATAACATGTAACCTGGTAAATAAGTACAGGTAAACATGTACTCAACTATAACATGTAACCTGGTAAATAAGTACAGGTAAACATGTACTCAACTATAACATGTAACCTGGTAAATAAGTACAGGTAAACATGTACTCAACTATAACATGTAACCTGGTAAATAAGTACAGGTAAACATGTACTCAACTATAACATGTAACCTGGTAAATAAGTACAGGTAAACATGTACTCAACTATAACATGTAACCTGGTAAATAAGTACAGGTAAACATGTACTCAACTATAACATGTAACCTGGTAAATAAGTACAGGTAAACATGTACTCAACTATAACATGTAACCTGGTAAATAAGTACAGGTAAACATGTACTCAACTATAACATGTAACCTGGTAAATAAGTACAGGTAAACATGTACTCAACTATAACATGTAACCTGGTAAATAAGTACAGGTAAACATGTACTCAACTATAACATGTAACCTGGTAAATAAGTACAGGTAAACATGTACTCAACTATAACATGTAACCTGGTAAATAAGTACAGGTAAACATGTACTCAACTATAACATGTAACCTGGTAAATAAGTACAGGTAAACATGTACTCAACTATAACATGTAACCTGGTAAATAAGTACAGGTAAACATGTACTCAACTATAACATGTAACCTGGTAAATAAGTACAGGTAAACATGTACTCAACTATAACATGTAACCTGGTAAATAAGTACAGGTAAACATGTACTCAACTATAACATGTAACCTGGTAAATAAGTACAGGTAAACATGTACTCAACTATAACATGTAACCTGGTAAATAAGTACAGGTAAACATGTACTCAACTATAACATGTAACCTGGTAAATAAGTACAGGTAAACATGTACTCAACTATAACATGTAACCTGGTAAATAAGTACAGGTAAACATGTACTCAACTATAACATGTAACCTGGTAAATAAGTACAGGTAAACATGTACTCAACTATAACATGTAACCTGGTAAATAAGTACAGGTAAACATGTACTCAACTATAACATGTAACCTGGTAAATAAGTACAGGTAAACATGTACTCAACTATAACATGTAACCTGGTAAATAAGTACAGGTAAACATGTACTCAACTATAACATGTAACCTGGTAAATAAGTACAGGTAAACATGTACTCAACTATAACATGTAACCTGGAGAATAAGTACAGGTAAACATGTACTCAACTATAACATGTAACCTGGTAAATAAGTACAGGTAAACATGTACTCAACTATAACATGTAGCCTGGTAAATAAGTACAGGTAAACATGTACTCAACTATAACATGTAACCTGGAGTAACATGTACTCAACTATGTTAAATGGTAAACATCCAAAATAATTACAAGGCATCACAAGTGATACAAATACCCTAGCATTCTCACATTTTGACATATGTAAAAGGAAATGAAGTCGTTGGAGCGATGACAATGTTTTGTTCTAAAAATAGTAAAAATGACCTTGACCTTTAACGCAGTAACCTGAAACGTAAACTTGTTCAAGATATTGCCATACCAAACACTTGTATCAAGTTTCATGACATTCTGTTGAGGAATGAAGTTGATAGAGCAATGAAGTTTTTTGGTAAAAGTAGGAAAAGTGACCTTGACCCTGAACATAGAAACTGGAAAAGCTAATTATAACTTGTCCAATGAATTGCCTTTCCAAACACTTGCATGAAGTTTCATGAAATTACGTTCAGTAATGAAATTATTGCTAGAGCTATGGCAAAGTTTTTCTAAAAATAGTAAAAGTGGCCTTGACCTTCAACATAGAAACCTGAAATGCGACATTGTTCAAGGTTTGTCATTATCAAACAATTTAATCAAGTTTCATGACATTTCGTCGAGGAATGAAGTCGCCAGAGGGATGACAAAGTTTTTCTAAAAATAGTTACAGTGACCTTGACCTTTAATGTAGAAACCCAAAATGCAAATTTTTTCAAGGTATTGTTATACTACACACTTGTATGAAGTTCATGAAATTCCTTTGAGGAATGAAGTTACTAGAGCGATGACAACGAGTGTAACCTATGTAGATATGTTCGTACAGGTGGAATCCTATATCCCCTCTAACTTTCCTTGAGAGCGATAATAATTAAGTTTCCCTTTGTACCCAGTCCATCCAATACATACCGAACGAGCCTGCAATGTTAGCCGAAAATACGATGACTGCACACAGGATGAGGTAGTTGTCTACTGCTTGGTAGAGACCTGTAGTGTAACACATATATACAGGATTAAACAGCCGTGTGACCGACATCATCATACATCATTACATATACATAGCAATACCAATACATACATGAGTGGAATTTATGGGTGAAAAATTCCTTTTGCCACAAATATACTGTATAACTCCAAATTAGTATTTTATGTTTAACAAAGAGCTACGGTACATTTGGATTTGTATTCTATTCCCATTATAAGATGGTGGCATGGCAATGGCATATAATTAAACAAACTCTTTGTAAATTGCATGAAAGTGTCATAATATCACTATGAATTTGCATGAAGTGTCATATTACATGTACTACCGCTCCTTGTAAAATATCAGATTTTAAGTAAATGTGATATGCGGACACTTTTTAATTTGATGAAAAATTGATTATGCCCAATTTTCTGATTGTAAGTTCAACTTACCGGTCATCCAGTACAGGATTGTACAGAAGACGAATGGGAAAATGGTAAAAGCTGGCAACTAAAAAAGAACAGAGGTAATGTCTTATTATTAAATATACAATATTTGATATAGCACCCTATCTAGCTAACATAAGCCATTCTAAAGCGCTTTACAGTACATAGATATACAATTTTATACAGTCAATACAATAAGCATATATATTAATCAATACAATATTGAGGAATTCGCAGAAGCTGCCTTATCAGGCGCTAACTACTAGTCCTATGTCACCTGGCTAATATCTCCATATGTGTGTATGCCTGTGTGTGTGCTGGTGATGTATTGTGTTCTGTTTGTAGTGGGACCGTGCTTCCGACGCATGGGGATGGGACAGTACGGACATGGGCAACACTAGTACTATAGGGACAGGACGAACATGGGCAACACTAGTACTATAGGGACAGAACTAGGGACAGGACGAACATGGGCAACACTAGTACTATAGGGACAGGATGGATATGGGCAACACTAGTACTATAGGGACAGGACAGACATGGGCAACACTAGTACTATAGGGACAGGACAGACATGGGCAACACTAGTACTATAGGGACAGGACGGACATGGGCAACACTAGTACTATAGGGACAGGACGTACATGGGCAACACTAGTACTATAGGGACAGGACGAACATGGGCAACACTAGTACTATAGGGACAGGACGGACATGGGCAACACTAGTACTATAGGGACAGGACGGACATGGGCAACACTAGTACTATAGGGACAGGACGAACATGGGCAACACTAGTACTATAGGGACAGGACGGACATGGGCAACACTAGTACTATAGGGACAGGACGTACATGGGCAACACTAGTACTATAGGGACAGGACGAACATGGGCAACACTAGTACTATAGGGACAGGACGGACATGGGCAACACTAGTACTATAGGGACAGGACGTACATGGGCAACACTAGTACTATAGGGACAGGACGAACATGGGCAACACTAGTACTATAGGGACAGGACGGACATGGGCAACACTAGTACTATAGGGACAGGACGTACATGGGCAACACTAGTACTATAGGGACAGGACGAACATGGGCAACACTAGTACTATAGGGACAGGACGGACATGGGCAACACTAGTACTATAGGGACAGGACGTACATGGGCAACACTAGTACTATAGGGACAGGACGAACATGGGCAACACTAGTACTATAGGGACAGGACGGACATGGGCAACACTAGTACTATAGGGACAGGACGTACATGGGCAACACTAGTACTATAGGGACAGGACGAACATGGGCAACACTAGTACTATAGGGACAGGACGGACATGGGCAACACTAGTACTATAGGGACAGGACGAACATGGGCAACACTAGTACTATAGGGACAGGACGGACATGGGCAACACTAGTACTATAGGGACAGGACGTACATGGGCAACACTAGTACTATAGGGACAGGACGAACATGGGCAACACTAGTACTATAGGGACAGGACGGACATGGGCAACACTAGTACTATAGGGACAGGACGTACATGGGCAACACTAGTACTATAGGGACAGGACGAACATGGGCAACACTAGTACTTTAGGGACAGTACAGACATGGGCAACACTAGTACTATAGGGACAGGACAGACATGGGCAACACTAGAACTATAGGGACAGGACGAACATGGGCAACACTAGTTCTATAGGGACAGGACGGTGTCGGGAACACTAGTACTATAGGGACAGGACGAACATGGGCAACACAAGTACTATAGGGACAGGACGGACATGGGCAACACTAGTAATATAGGGACAGGACGAACCAGGGGCAACACTAGTAATATAGGGACAGGACGGTGTGGGTAACACTAGTACTATAGGGACAGGACGAACATGGGCAACGCTAGTACTATAGGGACAGGACGAACCAGGGGCAACACTAGTAATATAGGGACAGGACGGTGTGGGTAACACTAGTTCTATAGGGACAGGACGAACATGGGCAACACTAGTAATATAGGGACAGGACGAACATGGGCAACCCTAGTACTTTAGGGACAGTACAGACATGGGCAACACTAGTACTATAGGGACAGGACATACATGGGCAACACTAGTACTATAGGGATAGGACGAACATGGGCAACACTAGTACTATAGGGGCAGGACGAACCAGGGGCAACACTAGTACTATAGGGACAGGACGACCATGGGCAACACTAGTTCTATAGGGACAGGACGGTGTCGGTGACACTAGTACTATAGGGACAGGACGTACATGGGCAACACTAGAACTATAGGGACAGGACGAACATGGGCAACACTAGTTCTATAGGGACAGGACGAACCAGGGGCAACACTAGTAATATAGGGACAGGACGGTGTGGGTAACACTAGTTCTATAGGGACAGGACGAACATGGGCAACACTAGTAATATAGGGACAGGACGAACCAGGGGCAACACTAGTACTATAGGGACAGGACGAACATCGGCAACACTAGTTCTATAGGGACAGGACGGTGTCGGGAACACTAGTACTATAGGGACAGGACGAACATGGGCAACACAGTAATATAGGGACAGGACGAACATGGGCAACACTAGTTCTATAGGGGCAGGACGGTGTCGGTAACACTAGTACTATAGGGAAAGGACGAACATGGGCAACACTAGTACTATATGGACAGGACATTCATGGGCAACACCAGTACTATAGGGACAGGACATTCATGGGCAACACCAGGACTATAGGGACAGGACGAACATGGGCAACACTAGTACTTTAGGGACAGTACAGACATGGGCAACACTAGTACTATAGGGACAGGACATACATGGGCAACACTAGTACTATAGGGATAGGACGAACATGGGCAACACTAGTACTATAGGGGCAGGACGAACCAGGGGCAACACTAGTACTATAGGGACAGGACGAACATGGGCAACACTAGTTCTATAGGGACAGGACGGGGTCGGTAACACTAGTACTATAGGGACAGGACGAACATGGGCAACGCTAGTACTATAGGGACAGGACGAACCAGGGGCAACACTATTACTATAGGGACAGGCCGGTGTGGGTAACACTAGTACTATAGGGACAGGACGAACATGGGCAACTCTAGTACTATAGGGACAGGACGTACATGGGCAACACTAGTACTATAGGGACAGGACGAACATGGGCAACACTAGTTCTATAGGGACAGGACGGTGTCGGTAACACTAGTACTATAGGGACAGGACGAACATGGGCAACACTAGTACTATATGGACAGGACATTCATGGGCAACACCAGTACTATAGGGACAGGACATTCATGGGCAACACCAGTACTATAGGGACAGGACGAACATGGGCAACACTAGTAATATAGGGACAGGACGAACCAGGGGCAACACTAGTACTATAGGGACAGGACGGTGTGGGTAACACTAGTACTATATGGACAGGACGAACATGGGCAACACTAGTACTATAGGGACAGGACAAACATGGGCAACACTAGTACTATGGGGACAGGACGGACATGGTCAACACTAGTAATACATAAACAAGAGGCCCAATGGGCCTGCATCACTAGTACTATAGGGACAGGACGAACATGGGCAACACTAGTACTATAGGGACAGGACGGACATGGTCAACACTAGTAATACATAAACAAGAGGCCCAATGGGCCTGCATCGCTCACCTGGTATAAAACTCACACTTGTAACCTTGAAAGTGATCTAAAATAAATCTACAAGCAAAATATCAGTATTTATGATTAAAATTCGTTCAAAAGACCCTGTTATTTTTTTTTTAAACATTTCACCCCTGTGATTGAAAGTCGAACAAAGTCATTATGTTGAACACATTGTATAGGCTTTCATCTCAGGATGCAACTTGCAAAGTATAAACATCCTGGGACCCATGGTTATTCATAAGAGGTTGTTTAAAGATTTTAAACAAATTTGACCCCTGTGACCTTGAATATAAGTCAAAGTCATTCACTTTAACAAACATAGTAGTCCTTGATCCCAGCATATGCTACTAACTAAATATCAACATCCTGAGCCTTTTGG